CTTTAAAGGCCAATTAAAACCTCAAAATGCTCATATTTGTATCATTTAAAGCCTTTCATTTTTGGATTAAAAAAAAATAATAAAAAAATGAAAAAAAACGTCATGCGTTGGCCATTTTTGCGTGTTTTTTTTTGTGTTTTTTTGCGTGTTTGAAGTAAGTACATTTACAGTGATTTAGTATGTTGTATGTTGTATGAAAGTCAAAATACTACTTTGTTTTACATTTTGCACCCATAATCACAAATAATATCACATTCAGTGATACGTACTTAAAGTTACCAACATCGTTCATGTTCTGAATAAATTTTTGCAAATAGTAAGCATAGCATATAAGATTCATATTTGTCCTTTCTACAGAAAGAAAAAAAATATTTATTTTTGAAGCTTTATTTACTTTTAAAAGGACATGGCCAAATTTCCTTTTTTGAACTGTCAATTATCAATCTTAGGGATATCAAGATGAATTAAGTTAGCTGAAAGTAAAGAGCCAGGTCAGACTGCACGGATGTGCATGCTCGCCTGATTATATAGATAATATATACATGTAATGGCGGCAAAGGCCCAACACTTTCTCTCCTCGCAGGTTGAATACCCATTAGGTCCCAGAAATGATTTTATCTTTTATTTATAAAAAGCTTTTCATTTCTGGTGTGTTTTAATTCATGGTTTCTAAAACTATACACATTGACCAATTACCAGACCTTTTTAACGTTTAACGTTTTCTTCAGTTGACTTTTGGCAATGAGTCTGGTTACATTGATTTAGTATTTTGTATTGAAGTCAAAATACTACTTTGTTTACAAATTGTTACTTTTGTGACGAATAAATTCACACATTATCACTGACATCTTTAGGTAACAATAATCTAACATGCTTTAATACAACTATTTAAATATTGTAATACTCATGTTTGACTTTCTAAAGAAATAAAAACAAATAAATTCACACATTATTGTTAATTTCTTTAGGTAACAATAATCTAACATGCTTTAATACAACTATTTAAATATTGTAATACTCATGTTTGACTTTCTAAAGATATAAAAACAAATAAATTCACACATTATTGTTAATTCCTTTAGGTAACAATAATCTAACATGCTTTAATACAACTATTTAAATATTGTAATACTCACTTTTGACTTTCTAAAGAAATAAACTTTCTTCGTTTCTGAGGCAAAATGTGTCTTTTAGGGTTAAAAGATGCATTTCAATACGTATCTGAGGTACAGTACACCATGCACAATGAATGGTCGCTTTAAAAAAAAACATTGTTTTGCGGGCCATGTTTAAACAGATATATAATTTTGATTCAAGAAAAAGAATCCGTACTTCACTTTAGTCATGTTATATTTTCCTGTCCTCTGGGACCATTGGACCAATCAAGTTAGTGTTGAAGATATAATACTAGGGCTAGGGAGTTAGAGATGATGTATTTTCACATTACTCTATTAAACCGATTCTGCAATTTTCATATACCTCATGTAATATAGTTGGCTTCGTTGCTTCCGAGGGATTGCCCCTTTATAGATTTCTATGTGGCGATATATAAAATATTGTTTGGATTTATTTCTGCATTTTTGGTGAAAAAAAACTTATTAAACTTATCCTATCAGGCGACAAATTTCTTCAATAGATTTTTGCACTGTTCAATTTTTACTAAATCACTCATCTTTTTAAGGGTAAAAATTTGAATTTGGTGCCCATTAACCATTTTTAGTACTGATTTTTTTTAATTTTAGGATAAAAAATACTTTTAAGTGTTAAAAGCTTTATATCTGATGCAAAAATATTGTTTGAAGTTTAAAAAGTGCCCGAATGAAAGAAAAATGTTAGTATATTTTTTTTAAAATGAATCATGCTTGAACAAACTCATCACTTAACGGTTAAAACAGTGGCATTATATTTTGTTTTTGGAACATTTTAATCTGTTTTAGTACAATATTCATGTATGTTAAATAACAGAAACATCCTTATAATATCTTATATATATATTTTATTGAGAATCGACCATCAGATTATTGAAACAAAATAATTTGACTGTTAATAAATTTTATGAAAATATTTTATTAGACAAAGATTTAGCTTAATGGCCATTAAAGTGATTGCCGATTAAGTCGTGTAAAGTGATTAAAATCAGATTATATTTGTAAATGCAACATGCATAAGACTATTCTATTTTCGAATTACTGATCTTGTTTATAAACTTAAAAAAATGAATTCATATTTCAGATATGACAAAAGACACGAAAAAAATGAAGTAATATCTCCATCATATCAGTAAAATAATATAAAATGCTCTGGAATAGCTATATACACCAAAGAGCTAATGGCATCGTATATTTTCATAACTCTGTTGGGTTCTTATGATTGCTTTAGTAGGTTTTTAATTCTGTCAAATCGTGAAAATTACGATGTATAACGTAGATTAAAAAAGTCATTTCAGCAAACAATTAAAACCAACTAAGATGAACATTGATATAATAGTTTTAATATGATTTAACTAAAAATTAATTTATTGCATGATATATGTATCTGATTATAAATTTCCTCAGGAGTATATGAAATGTCATTTTATTATTACATATTTATCTTAATATAAAATACACGAAAACCCTGCCAGTCAATTATTACATGTGGTTTCTTGTTAATATATAGAGGATATAAAATGTTTTTTTCTCTATAAATACAGGATCTATTTTCATCTAGTGGCGATAGTCAAGAGTGAAATATGAATATTTTCATATCACAAGATGAAAATAAATCATGTTTTTATAGAAAAAAACTTAAATTTTCTGTTTATTATATATACAATCAGTCTCTTTTTTACATCACATTTTAAAAGACTTCCCTTAAATTTTGTGTTTTGGTTAAATTTAGAAGAAATTACAATAAGTCCAACAAGACACCAGTGAAAATACGGAAAGTATTTTCACTATAGTGAAAAATAATTTCTTACAGGGAAAAATAAATATACGCATTTTATTTTCTTAATATTTCTCAATATTTCATTTATTGGCGTCCGCGCCGAAGCGCGGCGCCCCTTTATGGAATGAAATCAGATTTTGTGAAAGGGCGACAGCAACTTCTCGAGCCTTTTAGTCGGTCATAATAAAAGCCGATCATTCCGATCGGTATGAGGGTGCTTGATTATTATTAATTAAAAATGAAATGTCGCGATATGTACAATGAATAGCGAACTGGAGGATTTCGCAATGCAAACATTTTCAAATGCAATAACCTTTTCCGTCTCTTCGATTTTTTTATTTATCATTTTGCAGTACACAGATGGTTATCATGGTATGTTAAAATAGAATTATGAGTTGATGACCTAAATATTCCGAAAATCTATTTATAGAGGGATGTACTCCTATCGGTAATTCCGGTCTCTCCCGGTCTATTTATGACCGGGATACTAGTGACCACACGTTTATTGTCCGGTCTCTCCCGGTTTTGGAGTAGATGTTTGATATCGTTACAGAACAGAACAAATATTTTACATATAAATAAGCTTTTTTTCCAAAATGAATGTTTGTCACTTAGTTTGGTTACAATAATTAATAAACATAGATCAACTCTCACATTTTTTGATTATTATTATTATTATACATAAACATACAATTCGAAAAAACCAACAACAACAACAATATCATGTTTCATATTATCTTTATGAGATAAAATTAATAAATATGTACAATAATTGTGAAAAAAGGTACATTTTTATGGTTTTAATATGACACTATCAACTTTGAAACATTTTATTTAATTTGTTATTCGTGTTTAGTAAAGATGCCGAGGAATTATTCAAAGTTACAAATTAGATTTTATCAATTATTTAATTGACTGATAATTTAAAAATGATAAAGAAAAATACAAATGTACATGTACATGGTTTAAGAATAAACAATATCATATATTAAGTTAAGTTTTGACTTAAAATCGTCGGTCAATATGACAGTTGAATTCTTAAAATTTATTTTACAATTTTAATAAAAAAAGAGTAGTAAATGTAAAAAACTTAGTATTAAAATAGCACATAAAACACAAAAAAAAGAGAAAAAAGAGATTCTTTGTTATTAAAATAGATATTACAATTATTGTATAATAAACAATAATGCTCAACATGACATGGTAATATAACCAGTGTCATATTTTTACTAAGTGTGAACAGATACCTTAAGAGGGGGTCTTCGCTAATAGCGATTACATAATAAGGGACAATTCCACAAGTGTGGTGTTGATCATGCGTTACACATATGGATTATAATGATTGTATACATGTCTATCCGCTGCTATTAATAACCACGATCATAAAGAAATAACAAGTAATATTCTAATCGCTAGCATGCCAATCAAAGTTCATAATGAACAATGTCTTCCGTCCGTTCATTCTGGTAAAAACCAATTAACCATTGAAAAGTTTGTAAGAATATCTTGACATCATATGTCTACTAGTTCATCTTCACTTTCTGCAGTTCTTGCTTGGACGCCCTTTGATGCTTTGCATCAATGCTTTTCTTGTAAGATGATATAATAAAACTATTTATGGCCATACAGTAACAATGATATGTATTTGGTATGAATATCGCGATAATACTAGTAATCTAAAATGGAATATTTTACCAGAAACTTATTTTTTGTTTTGCAAATGTTCTGTTTAACTTTTCAGGCTTATAAGTCAAAACTATTTAGAGAAAATGTTTATATATTTTTTCGTTTGATTTAAATTTAAAATATATTTTTACAAAACATTATTCTCCTGGAACTTCAACAAGAGTACTCGACAAAAAGCTATATATAGATGTATTCATCACAGTTACTTATTTCACTAAATACCATCATACAACACACTAAAATCCAGATCCCCATTTTCCGCCAGGATAGCCTTAAATACCATTTGAAGTCGTATGCACGGATAAAAGTTGATTACTTGATAGGCAATATCTTGAATATTTCAATATATTGAATATTATTTGTTTGAATCCCATAAAATCATTTCATGCGAGATGAAGTCATTATTTTTTGTTTTAAATTTCATTGCTGTTTGTTTTTCACAGTAAGTGTTTTAGGGCTTACAACTATAAACGATTTTGAGTATACACGAATAACATGGAAAGATGGCCAAATGAATACAAGCACGTTTGACATGCTCCCAGGTAAACATTTACTTGTTTCTGTTTTATTCCGGACACATTAGCGTGTGGAGGCCGTAAAAGTCGCCCCTTAACCAGGTGATGCATTTCCGATCCTTGCTTATTTTGGAGATTTTATTTTGTCTAGTTGATCTTTTTCCTAGTGGGCGGTTTCATTTATTTCTTATTAGATATCTACTTATAGTATGCTCCTCAGGATGTGCTGCTTGCATTTAAGATGTCCGTCCAGCTACATCTGATTCCTTTTCATCAGTTTTACTTTATTTTATTCCCTTCGCCGTTTTCTTGTTTAGGGTACACTCATTCTTTTATTTTGTGGAACCACATACTGCTTTCGTGGAATGACACGAAAGTTAAGCATTGGAGATTTCATGGTCACTGCCACATGAAAACATCTGTTACAGTAGATGATTCTAATGTTTTCATTATTGACATGAGTAAATGTTGAATACTGCCTACCGCAACGCCTTTGCAAGGGTTCGTGGACCGGCATGGTATGACCATTCGTACGCATTACCTCCGCTTTAAAGAGTACTTAAAACGACAAATACTGCCAACTGAATTAAAACTGAGGGCCGTGGTTTCAAACCCATGTAGGTTCAACTTATTGTCTTTTTCTTTTTTCTTTTGACATTATTTAAGCATTATTCAGATCCGAATCAGTATTTATTTTTAATTATGTAAATATTATAGGTATTTATTGACTAAATAATGCTAGGTTCATTCATAAATTTGGTGCCTTATATTTCCAAAGTCTAATGGAATTAAAGCTACAATATACAATTATATAAATTTTGACACTATCAAACAGTAAAGATCAGAGAAAATTTAGAGAAACGTTGAAATCAGTCGCTCAATTGGGATTATGGGTATTTTGAATTAGGCTCTCTATGCAAGAAAATGGTCAAGAAGATGTTTAAAATGGATAATATGGGTAACAGTTTTATCCAAATTTCAAATTTGAAAATAAACAATCATTTTTGTTCATTTTTTAGTTAGCTGAAAGTTATCAATTTTTAAAGCATCACTTCTTTCTGTCTTGACTCTTAACCCCCCGTTCACACATAGACGCCACTTCTACTACGATCAAAGCGTGGCCGAAAACGTGGCCGATCGTGGCAAATCGTAGGAGAAACGTAGTGGAGTCTACATAATCGCAGTATGATCGCGGTAAGGTCTTTGTGATCGGAAAACTCTACGCTCTCGCCACGTTTATTTTGAGCGTGCTCAAAACAAGCGTAGCGGGATCCTGGCCAGCTAGAATCGGGATAAAGTCGTTAAAAGAACGTGGTAGAAACGCCGTAATCGTACAAGCAGCACGGAAGCATCGTGGATAGCTCTTCATGATCGTAGTAAAAACGCAGTAAAAGCGTAGTACAGTCGGAAACATACCGAGTACGCTTCTACAAGGTTCTCACTATGTTCTTACTACGTTCCCACTTCGATCTCTCTACGTTCATGACGATCCTACGAAGACCTACCATGACCTTACGACGATCATACCACGACCTGTCAGGTAGCAGTTTGTTTTTATAGCGCTGCTATTTGACCAATCATAATCTGAGGAAATGGTGTCATCCATTCGGAGTTCTCTCATCAGTGTATCATATTGTCCAAACTAGAGCCTCCTATCTGCAGATAGCCATGGCCGTACCCAGTATCTTCTTGGCCTCCTTCTTCGCCTCCGCCTGTTAACACGCCTTTAACAATCTGCGCAATTTCAATTTCTACCAATATTTGTTCTTGATGAAGTAAAGCCAGATGAATCAGGTCAGCATTAATACATCCGTTCATGTTTGAAGTTTGGAAGTAAATGAAAAATAATTTTTGAAACCCAAGATATATATATCATCGCTAAAATCGTACCAGAAGCGTACTTCAAGCGTGATATGATCGGCACTGTCGTAGCGATATCGTCGAACAGTCTTCTAGGTCTGCGTAGCGTCGTAGTGCGAGCTTAAATGCCGTAGCGGCAGTGTAGTATAATCGCAGTAAACGCGGCCGCTGGTCGGCATCGGTCAGCGTAACATCGTAGTAGAAGCGTGTCAGCAGCATGTTTGACGTTGGAACATCGTAGTACAGTCGTAATGAAGACCAAAATTTGCCAAATTGTTCGATTTCGACGCCGATCGGCCCCGATCCAATACTTTTTCAGATCGTGGCTTGATCGACATGGTCGTCATAAAGTCGCAGCTCTGTGTGAACGGGGGCTAACTTAAAGTTTAATCATGTTTGAAAGTGTTTTTTTTATTTTGTGTGTCTTTTGCTTTTTTTGCGTTTCGGGGGATTCATTGTCATTTGATATTTTATATGGAAATAAAAATAACAATTTGTGTTATTTTGTGTGACATTTTGTGTATATATTGCTTCCTTTGTGACAAATAGTTTCAAATTCAACGCTATTATCTTCAGTATATGTTCTTAATTCAATAAAGCAACAATTATATCCAGAACATGTTCGTTTTTTTATCAGAAAGAGAAATACATGCATTTCTGAGGCATAACTTGTATTTTAGATATAAAATCTATTTGTGTTTGATACTTCTTTGTATTAATATCAGACGAAAAGCATGCTGATAGCAATTGGCCTCCTGGGCCTTATTCTATGTTGATGCCAACAACTGGCTGTCCTGAATCAAAAAATCAAGGCTGGAGGACCGGGTACATATATCTCGTTTGGCCGAATACAGTCAAAGTCGTATCCTCGGTACCAATGGCAAAACCTGGTTGCAAACAAGTTTCAGAGAATAGCAACGAAGGTGTTATTGCAAATAAAACGGCAAAACGGTTTTACGACATAACAGAGGACAGCTGGCCAGAAACGTGTAGCAACTTGCTAGGACCTTTTAACAGATTTTCATTCAAATTGAACTTTTGCGTTAAGGATGGAGATGAAAATAGTCCGAATAATGAATCCGTTGACTGGCCGGATGGCGATTACGCTATTGTGGCAACAGGGGCATGCCCACAAGGTACTGATATTTCAAAATATTCATTTTGTTTTTCGAGTAACCCTTTTCTAAAAAATTTTGACAGCCAGCAATCAATAAAATAATTTTGTTTTTAAGTATTTTGTTCTTATGTAAAAGTCCAGAACCACCTAATTGTGCGATAATGTAATTATATCGGATTAATTGACAAGTGCATGTTTTTTTTTAATTTTGGAATCTTGTCTCAGTTTCCAAAACAGTTTCCATAAAATTGATCATTTAACACAAAGTTGAATCTGTTGCCTCTTTTGTTCAGTAATTAAAGTGAATTAGTATTTTGTATGGAAGTCAAATACTAAATTGTTTACATTTTGCTGCCTTTATGGCCTATCACTATACGTTCATTGCTAATTTTGTCAATTGTTAGACATCTTACATATTCTAAATCCGATTTTTTAAACAGTATTCAAAACACAAACATAATGTGCCTTTCAATAACACGCCGTTCATTTCTCTACTTCAATACTTTCATTAAACGAGCTTTTCCTACTTGTTTTGGATACAAATAAACTTGTGTTACTATTTAAGCTATTTAATTTGTCCTATTTATTGACAGGTTTTTACAGCAAGAAACATTCAATAACAGTGCCCAAACTCACGTCTTGGACAAAAAGTGGGATTCTTCCAAATGTCACAGTCCTTAAAACTCCAAACGCAAGTAAGTGCGTAAGCGAATCTTTATATATACGGTAATCATATTTTTATGTACTTATTTTATGTATGGCAACCGATCCGAGTAAAGCTTGGCAGCCAGTGTGCTTGTTCCAATAAGATATTGTACTTAGTTTTATCATGGTTCATCTGGAAAAATCTACATCAATGCATATTACGCAAGACCTTTGTTTTCAAAACAAATATTCATGAAGTATGCTTGCATTACGTGTACAACATATGTAAAACTTGACTCTTCATGTTTTGTGCAATTGGACTTGATTGAGTTACTTTTTACATGAAAATTGGAACATTGGAAATAATTCTTTTCGGTTGCTTTCTCTTGTGCAAGGCTTCAGATCCCTCGCTTATCCGTTTATTCAAAGTAGTCATGACAAAAAATTGTTTCAAAGTAGTCATGACAAAAAATTGTTTCGTCGTTTTAAATGATGTCGGACAAAATCAATATTTAGTTTAATTCTGAGTACTGGTTAGGGACCATCAATCGGACACTTTTTGAACATTTTTCCATACAGATTTCATAATTTCAAACCGATAGACCTGAATATTTGACAATGATAATATTGACCCTTATATCTGAGGCTCGTCAAGGATGGTATCAAAATTACCTAATTTGTTCACAGTACCATGTGTCTGGACAGATATGCACATGATGTCAGTTAATTCATTTAAATGCTTGGGTGTTTTAATTTTTTATTTTTAACATGACTTACAATATTTCAGCAACAAATGCTGAAGTTTTGATATTCTATTGTTTACTCTGCAAATAATTATGAATAGCTTGTATATGAGGTCAGGTATTGCACTCTTAACGCCGAAATTTTCAACATCAAGATTCTTGAAATAGACATTAAAATATTACCGTAGAAATAAATTTGATTACTTAATTAAAAAAGAAACATGCATTTATTGTTGTTCAAAAAGTGACTGATAGATCGCCAACCAAGGAACAAAGGAAAAGAATTCAAAGCGTTTTTAGGACTGTCGGGTTTGGTGGTTGTCCGGTTTTGGTGGTCCCCAACCAGTATATCTCTTATTAGCATAATTAGCATAATTTTTCCATTTTACTGTGTCCTAGTCTATCTTGGTAAGAATTCCACATTTTACAGTTTTAGGTCTTTAATTGGACCTTAATGGAGCACCTTTCTTTGGTCGGAACATATTGGCTTTTATTCATAATTCGAAGATTGACGGAAAAGGGCCGCAAAAGTTTGCAATTGCCATTTCTTAATCGTTATGAGACGAATTTATTTTCCCCTTTTAAATTTTAAAAAATGTTTTGGCAATAAAAAACAAAAAAAAATAAAATTTTTAAAAAATGGTTTTTTTGGATTTGTTTTTAATTCGTTTTATTGGATATTTTTTTAGCTATTATATGCCCCTCAGTATTCTAATTCCCAAATGAATTTGCATATTTTCAAAACATTAATTCCTTTTAATATTTTTTTTAATTTTTAAATTTTTATCATTTTTCCCCAAAGGGGACATGAAAACGAAAGAACCTTTTATCTTTTGTTCTTTATATTTTTTTAGATGGAAAAAAAAAGTGCACGATTGCGAACTATGGTTTACCAACTAGTATGCCTTTTTTGAGAAATAAATTGTATGAATAAAGATTAATACTGTTTTTTTTGCTCTTTTATAGTATGCATAATAAAATACTAAGGATATGTTTAAGAGAAACTGTTTATTAATAAGTCTTTGCATTGTTTGAGAAACTAAATATTGCTTAATGTTTTTCCGAAGTATATTATAATATTTTTATTTTTAAATGCATAATAATACATTTTAAAACATTATGTAATTGTTTATAACTTCACTTTAAACCACTATTTAAATTAAATAAAACCCCATTGTATTTTTTTAAACCATTTTAACTGCTTTTTAGTAAGGTTGTATTGCTGTAACTAATATTAATTTTTAAAAAAGTAGATTTTTTAAAAAAAAATACATTTGTACAAATGTTCAAAGTTTCTGTGTAAAATCTACCTCAGATATCATATTAAGTTATTCATGATAAAACAACTTTCAAATTGTTTTAGTTTAAAGTATCCTTCTGCAATTCCAAAATATTATTTTCTTTTAAAAAATAACAACAAACTAATAGGTGAATAAGTTATTACAACATGTTATTTTTAAACTCATCCAAATATCCTGCTATGTAGCATTAATAGGTTATAACCTTAAAAACTCTTGGGCAATTAAATAAGTACTTAATCCTATTCAGAAAGTCTAATGTAATAAGTTGGCAGAAATGCCAGGCAAAATCTAATACAAAGGTAATAACTGAATTTATATAAAGTATTCTTCAAAATAAAGTAACAGAATATCCGGCTTGAATGTCACGGGTGTTATGCACTAAATTGCAAAATCTGTATATAAGTCACCCAAAGATTTTAATTATCAACAATTGCTATCAAATAATTATCATTAATTGTTCAAGTAAAATAAAATTGTGCTTTAAATAAAAATTTAAATATATACAATTTGTATATTGTACATGCAGTTACAATATACCAGCAAAGAGTATTAAAGTCATATTATATTGTTGATAACATGATGTCTAACAGACAAAAAGCCCATCAAATACGGTACTAAAAAATAGTCTTCGCCGCACATTCATACAAAAATAATGAATATATAAGTAAATTTCACAGTTTGCAAATCAATGTCTGAAGATAGCCATTTATAATATATTAACTTTATACATTATTTTATTCTAGTTTATTTTATTAATAATTAGACCAAGTATTTAATGATATTTTGTAGGCATAATTGAGATTGATCTGTGTGTACATGAAAACAACACCGAAATACAAACCGAAACAAATAACACCGTATTTATAGATGATGCGTTTCTTCTTATAAAGGTATCGTATGCATGTTTTTATTCTTTCGTATACAACCAACTCCAATACCTGTTAAGGCTGCTCAATTGTGGCTGATTTGTGCCATTCGTGTTTTGACCCCGCGACCCTGCCAAGCGAAACGTTTAATAAATAAAACTTTACTCCGCACCCCTGCTGTTCTTTTTCTTAAATCTCGCTTCGCGCCCTCGCGGGTCTAAGTTCTTATAATTAACTTTCGCCAGCTCCCCCACTTATTAGCGTGTTTCGCTTCGCCCCCTACCATTTTAACGTATTCGCTGGACGGGGCCCGACTAGAATTGTCACTGAAAACTTCATTGATAGGTATCGAATTTTATATATTTTAAATTGTTTTTATTTGATTTTCTTTTAAATATACACGTGCAAGCCATAGCCGGGCAAGCCAAAGTTCTTTGACTTCCCCGTATTATTGATATCATCCAAGATGAAGTGCACTGGGGACAAGTAAACGGAAGCGGTATACAAAATACATGTACCGGAATTATTTAAAAAAAAAACAACGGAAAAATGTAAAATAATGAAATGAACGAACACATTTTTATTTTACTTCCCCGTTCATAGATTTTGCCTTCTTTCATAGTAGGGAAAAGTAATTTTCTAAGTTTCGGTGTGATGAATAAGTAGAAAATTAAATTTCCTTTGTCCGAAATAGTATGCCTAAATTTAGGTAAAATGCTTTTATTGCAGAAATGAGTTGATATATAGGACATTCTTACTGGATATGTCTTATTTGAATTAGAATGTTTTGGAAGATGCACTCATTCTTTAATGATCAAGTTGATTTTGTCCCTTCTTAACTGCGACGTTTTTAATGAGACTATGTATTCAAAACGTGTTTACTTATAGTGTGAAGAGTTTAAAACATAACATTCATTACCTGTGTGTACTCAAATATATTTATTTAACATCTGACAAGGAGATCATACTGTTATGTGTATAGATCTAGTATCAAAAAATCAAATTTGAAGCATATCAATCTTTAAAGAATCTCACTGATGTCAGAATTTTTGCATTATGAACAATATCTAATAAGTGATCATTCCTGTTAAACAGTTAAGATTATATTAATTGTGTGCATGTTATTTATTTAGTAATAAGCTTAGCTCTGGTTAAAAACTTTGTTTTGTAATAAAACATTAATTGCTATTTTACAATGTGCTTAGGTTGAAAATAAAACCTGTATAAACTTGAATGGAATGGAAGTGGTAAACGAAACGTTGTTCATTGGTCAAAGTCAAGGAGTTTTGCAAGAATTTGAAGAAGTTTTTCAAATCTGCTATTACAAACCAGTGTACTGGACCAAAAGTAAGTCGCCAATATTGGAATTTATTTGTCCCCCAAAGCTGAATATCATCACTTTGATGTAGAATTAATGTGTTGACCGGAGTATATGTTTAATAAGTTATAATGTAAATGATGTACAGGTATATGATAAAGGTAAAATAAAAAATACAAATACATACATAGACTATATTTAACGTACTAGTTTATACATGGAGCAAGGGTTATTTTAAGTTCGAATAATTACCGTGTAAACTGTTTGTTAGCTTTGAAAATAACATAGACGTCTACTTGTGCATCCATATTAATATCCCGAAGCCATGTATTGTTTCGTATTTATTATTAGACAAAAGGTTTGAAACCAATTTAAGGACTTTGTCGCAATACAGATTGCATTTATGTTGCTGATGGCACAACGGGGACATTTACCATCAAAGTTTGAAGATATTCTCAAAAAATACTAGTATCCAAAGATATTTTATGATTAGAAAAGTTATTTCCTCAAAATTAGTTTCAAAGATATAGGTTTTCTAAAAGTGACTTTGTTTAACTTATACAGGAAGCGATTTGTATCTGCATTACCAGAACTTAATGTTTAAAGGTAAGCATGAACATAGATCAAACTTTTTTTGTCAGCAATGAATTCCTGATGTTTTATTATAAATAGACTCTTGATGTTTTATCGGTAATAAACTCCTGATATTTTGTCAGTAATAAACTCCTGATGTTTTGTAAGTTATTAACGCTTGATGTTTAAAAAATTATTACCCTTGATATTTTATCGGTAATAAACTCCTGATTTTTTATCAGTAATAAACCTCTGATGTTTTATCGGTAAAAAACTCCTGATTTTTTATCGGTAAAAAATTACTGATGTTTTATCGATAATAAACACCTGATGTTTTATCAGTAGTAAACTCCGGATATTTTATAAGTAATTAACTCCTGATATTTTATCAACCTCCTGATTTTTTTATCAGTAATAAACTCCTGATGATTGATAAGTAATAAACTTCTGATGTTTTTGTCAGTAATAAACTTCTAATGGTCAATAAGTTATAAACTCTTGATATTTTATAAGTAATAAATTCCTGATGTTTAATTAGTAAAAAACTACCGATGTTTTATCAACAATAAACTCCTGATGTTTTATCAGTAAAAACTCCTGATTTTTTATCGGTAATATACTCCTGATAGTTTATCAGTAATAAACTTCTGGTGTTATATCGGTAATAAACTACTGATAATCATCATATTATAAAGTACATTAAACATACTTACTACATCGCACAATGGGTTACTTTTATATTCAATTTTATCAAGGACAAAATGTTAACATATGTTTTATAAGAATATAAGAATCTTTATTGTTTTCAGAAATTTAATCGAGTGTTTAACTGACGCTTTCTTGAGGCAAATCTAAGCATATTTTGTAAATTTTCCTGCATTTTTGTCCCTGATGAGACTAGTTCAAACACATCTAAATTCAATTTGTTGGTCTAAAACATATTTTAATATGATGCAATTTTGGTTGCTTTGCTATAACATTAAATTTTGTGAAATATGAATATATCGATATAATGTATTTATAAACAATATTCATGTGACTGTTAATGACTTCTTCTCCAATTCTCGTTTCGTTTCTCGACATTTATTCAAAAGTCTTAACATTTTAACATCAAATATTGAAAAAAACTTTCAAGTCTGTTACTAAAAGAATTTTTTTTTCATTTTTCAATATATATATAGGGTTTTCAATGACAAATGTCGGTCTTTCTTATGGGAGCCAAAATGACTTCGCTCAGAGCCTGATGCAGTATGGTAATGTTGATTTTTTAAATCAAAACAAACCCTGAAAACTTAATATTTATTTAGTTATACCATCATATAGAAATTTTTATTGTACGTGTATATTACCTTAATTGGCATGTTTGAGTTACCACCCTGTTACCCTGTTTATAAAGCACACGTGCTTGTCTTCTTTCCCTACCTACCTAGTATATACTTACCCTGAATAGTGTAAATTAGATATAACTCTAAGATAATATCTTATTGCATAATTGTATCACCTTACTTGTTCTGGAAATCATTTATTCGTACTCTTTTTGCTCTTATGATCAATCAATATCTAAACTTAAAGCCTTATCAGGAATCACACTAATGGTTTATATAAAAATTATAAACACATTTGAATAATTATCTAACTCGTTATCTGAATCATTATTATCATATTATTTCGAATTCAATACTGATGGTTGCTAATGGAAATGACCTGCAATTATCGGAAATTGTCGGTTATTATGCGCTCAGCTATGTTTTTTCTTGTTCACCAGTTATGAATTGATATACCAAAAACTTGATATAAAAAACAACCTGATTATTTTGTTCTTTTTGTCATTAGTAAACTTATAATTATTTGAGATTTTAAAGGAAGCTGCAATACCAATTGGTACGTTTCTGTTGTTATAAATCACTGCTAATTCAACACCGCCCTTTTGGTGTTTGACACCTATAATGCTCTTAATCTATTCATTAAATATATATTCATGCTTACACTTTCTATAAAAAACACTAAAATTGAATATGCAAATTTCTTGTCATGTTGTTTAACTTTAGATACCCTACCAAATCAGGAAATAAAATATAAACAGATGAGTCATTGGCTTTTGCTGGATATGGGTGGAATGTTCTTTGTTCAAGGACTCAGGTTCCCAAATTGTAAGTAAATAAATTTAAATTGAAGTACTAGTTGTACATATCTTGTGAATAAGAATTTTTTAGATACGTACTAACAGAGAGATCATTTATGTTTTTTTCTCTTATAAATATGGGATACATCATCATCGGGTAATATGAAAATAAATATTTCACGAGTTGTTGTAGCCATGAGTTAGATATATACTTTTATTTATGAAGTATTTTGACATGTTAATAATTCAACCCAAATCGATGATAAGTACAAAATTTCGTTCATTATTATAATGAACAATGATACAGACTGATCTCTAGTTAAATGTGGGATGTTTCAGTCCGAGAAATTAACAAAGATTTGTTCTGTAGATAATAGCAATGTTTTAAGCTATGTCATCAAACATAATATATCTATAATATGATTAAATATTTGTAATATCAACAATTTACATGTTGTGAGAAAACCTACACTGAACATGTTGTAACCAAACCAGGTGTTCTGAAAATAAATATAGCACAAGCTGTTGTAGCCAAGAGTTAAACAGGATTATATTTATACCAACAGATGAAAACACATCCTGATATTATACACACAAAAAATATGTGTAGTATATACTTTTTACATTAAGATTGGAACAACTTCTCTTTAAAATTTAAAGTATTCTCTTAAGTTTAGAAAAAAGAAGTCCTACAAGGCACTAGTGAAAATTCTGAAAATCTGTTTCACTGCAGTGAAAAATAACTTTTTTACAGTGAAAATACGGAAAATGGAATATGTTTGGACTGATGTATTTCCTTAAAGTGATTATGTGGTAAAATCACTTGAATTGTTTTTTTTTTTTTTTTAGATTAAAAGTCATTTCTGCGTGTGAACGACTTTTTTCGGGGGGGGGGGTGGAGGGGGGAGGGGTGATGTGCATATGGAAATTGTCTACAAACATCAATCAGTATGCAGGATAAGAATTTCAAAAAAAAGTTTTATTTTTAATAATTTACAAACAACTTAAGTGTTATTGTTCTATCTGTTTTATCTATCTTAATCAACATATTAAAACATAAATGTTATCTGGCTGGCGAGATAATAGTTCAGATAGATTTGTGGAAATGTCTTGCATTTTTATATTTATATCGTAGTCTCCTTTAATATCGGTTTCATTATCTTTGATTGTGTCCTCTACTTACAATGGATTAACATTTTACTTTAATTAGATCATTTGGAACAAACATCGCTGGTGAGTTACAACGGTACTCTACAATGGGCAATACATGGAGAAACCTGTTCACGGTGGGATTCCCACCCGAAAATCGTAGAAAACTTCAAATTTCCCGTTGATGGAAATGTGTTTGCTGCTGAGAACTTCTGTAGATACCATGGAAACATAGCTGATCATTGCATCATTTGTTTCATTGCACCTGCAAAGTTAAAGTGTTGCACTGGGGAAGGTAAAATTAGTTGCTTTCGTAAAATAAACTATTCAAACGTTAGTAACTTCAACTTACTGTACGGACCTTGATATTTTCAAAACAAAAATGAAACAAAAATTGTGTATGAGAAATTTTTGTTTTTCTTTTATTAACTTTTAATATGCTCTAGTATCGCATTGCAAATATGTAGATAAAATGAAATCAGTAACAGCGTTAATGTTAAATTGCATGATTGTACTTTTCTACCAATGTCGGCAAACAATTTTTTTTTCGATATATTATTCTTTTTTCTAAAAATCGACAATTCGTCCAATATGACTAACCCAACACAACTGATTACAACGACATGCAAACTGGTCTGTCTCGATTTCATCAGCTTGAACAGAAAATTCTAAGCTCTTCCAAAACAGTTTCTTGTAAATGATCTTTGAATGAAATACTTATGTAATATTAAGGCTTTTCAAGACTTTTACGAAAACCTGAACTATGTTAATTTTGATATTTAAGTTTACACGATTGGTGGAAACGGAAGGGAGTCATTTACAAAGATATTGATAGGCAATGACAGATATGCAATGTTTAGAACAGGATCAATTGAGGTTCCATATTCACTTGATATCGACACAGACAGAACTGTAGTAGCTTACTTTCAAAAGTAAGTGACCGATATCAAAATTGTTCTATTGTTCCGCTCTCGCAAGTTCATAAATGACTGACAGTCTGTGTTTTTAAACTGTTGCAGGCAAGGGTGTCTAGTTAAATCTCGGAAATATATTACTATCATATAAGCTAATACGCAATTCTAGACATGATAAGAAAGTAAACAACTTGTAAGGATTCACAGTAATATATTCGTATCAGTTTTGCATGTAACAATTGATACACAAATTGTTTAACTGTTTTTATATCGGATAATAAGGTCATATGGCGACGTTCCAGCTTTACTGGTCGAGGAAGACGTCAGGCGCCCTTCCGTGCATTGCCTCAGACACAAACGGGCACCTGACCCTAGCCGTTAATATGGTCATTGTAATTACGTTAAAGAGTATAAATCTATATTCTATGAAATATTCTTATAAAATTTATCAACAGTAAAATTATATTGGTTCCATTATTATATGTTAATATAATATATATATTATATGTTAATATATTCTAAGTTGTAACATAGAATCTCTCTATTATTCAATACACATGACTAATGTACATAAACAGAATAAAATGTTCCGGAAAAAAATATTTTGCTATCATAAGAAGGGTTTTATTCGTTTAGCAATAATTTTATACACGCGCCACTCGCTTTAAGGCATTTAATTACCATATTTATTTCATACAAGCATTTTGGCAATATTCTTTTTTGAAATATATCTCATTTTTATGTTTATACAGACACATGTTCGGAAGGTTTATCCTATTGATAACAACAGATAATGATGGTTTCGAAGATTTGATCAACAGTACTTCCGGCATTCAAGTTTTAATTTCTAAAGATTCCTTAACGAGTAAGAAAAACTCATTTTTACATCCTTGTTACATAATTTTGATTTCAGCTGTGTTAAATAATGTAAATTCCACAATCTATTTTATGTCGTTTAGTTGCATGTATGGTATGATTCTTGTGAAACACATGTCTTAGATAATAAATAACTTGATCAATTTGCCAACTTAGAAAAGAGACGAAAATAAGTAAGAAGTATTTACAATTTATCAAGGCCAATGGTATATGAAACGGGACCATATTTCATATAGTAGAAGTACCAGAGCAAATAACGTAAAAAATGTTTTTAAAAAGATATGTAACGTCAAAATGCGTGTTTTATATATCATAAGATCATAGGAAGTATTTCATATGGTAAAACTCTTAGTTAAATGTCATTAATCGGTCAAGATACAGTGGTAAGCCATTTCTCAAAAAGGGAAATATCTCTGGAGCACGGAAGGAAAGCAGTATCATAAATGTTTAAATTATTGATACGGTTTAATTGAGTTTGTTCATGATAGATAATGATGCATCATCTCTTTTTTGTTATGATATTCTTCTGGTGCACTGGGATTATAGAATTCATATTTAGTCGGTGCTATGGGACGTGAGAGATGGGCAGCTTTCTCTTGAACAGAGGTGGCCAAAGTCGAACCTGCATTTTTCATATTTCTGTTTTGTTTTTATTGATATAAAATGATCTTCCCTTGTCCAAATTTTTTAAGTTTAATGCTGTATGACACCTTACTACACCTCACCGTTGTTGTAATATCTGTGTCTTTCGCCTCATTGATAATAATACGTAATTCTGTTGAAGACTAAATTATGCTTATGCTTAAGCTAGGGAACGTGAGAGATTGCTCTCTTGGGTTTGCCCGAATTTAAGCAACATTTATCTTCAACACTTAACGTTTCAATGAATCAATGATCCAATAAAACAAACAAAAATTGAAAGAAAAAGTAATATTTATATAATGACATTCGGGTGATATACTGTGAACTTTTACAACAGTTTTAAAAGTCATGCTATATGTGGAAGAGGAGATTCCAAAATTAAAAAGATGAAAGTTGCAGACTCGGTGTCACTGACTCTGATTACGATACTTAAATATTAATTTACTTGATAAAGTTAATTTCTAATATAACTAACACAAATTTTATCATATACCTTACGCTTTAAAAGATAAGAAATGAGATTTTGTTTGCCTTACAATTTCTTAAATATTGTGATGCAATTTTAATTTTAATATATTTTCTAATTATATATCATTACTTTGGAATTAAGGGAAAAGATGGGAAATATCAGCCACAATTTAAATGATTCTATATCAATAAAGAAACAAATGTACCGGTCGTAAATAACACACTGACTTTGTTTAAATTAAAATTTGTCCGGTGAATGTTTTACCTAAGACAAGAACATGGTTACGCATTTCAATTGAATCACCTTACCTTGAAACGTTTTAATTTTGGTTTCCCAACTCATATAAATTTTAGAGTTTGAACATTAAAATGGATTAATTTCTGTGTCAAAAGTTACTGTTTAAAGTGAGTTTATTTGCTTTTGCTCGCAACATTTTAGCTCAGCAAGACATATGTAATAATGATCTTGGAATGCAGGACATGGGTATAACGGACGCGCAGATATCGGCATCATCTTGGTTAATTCAATTTCCACCTGAAGCAGCTAGACCATTTCAATCTGGATGGTGCTCTGACATAAATGATGAAAATCCCTATATAATGGTAACATCGTTTTGCTTTTAATTTGTGTTTATGTATATATATAAGAAAATGACAATTTTGTTTTGTTGCAGTATATAATCGTATTTGATTTCCTCTTGTGAACACCAACAGAGTACTGGAAAAAATATCTATCTCGCTGATTACTTGATAAATCGCTCTATCAACATTTAAGAGTCTACTCTAGTTGTTTGACTTTATAACAGGGAATTTAAGAGTCTACTCTAGTTGTTTGACTTTATAACAGGGAATTTAAGAGTCTACTCTAGTTGTTTGACTTTATAACAGGAATTTTAAGAGTCTACTCTAGTTGTTTGACTTTATGACAGGGAATTTAAGAGTCTACTCTAGTTGGTTGACTTTATAACAGGGAATTTAAGAGTCTACTCTAGTTGGTTGACTTTATAACAGGGAATTTAAGAGTCTACTCTAGTTGGTTGACTTTATAACAGGGAATTTAAGAGTCTACTCTAGTTGTTTGACTTTATAACAGGGAATTTAAGAGTCTACTCTAGTTGGTTGACTTTATAACAGGGATCTAATATTGTTAGATGAATGCAATAGCCACCAATAATGTAAACAAATGCAAATTGTGTCAGTCATGTTTCTGCTAATCTTTGGTTATGTTCGAAACAATAGCTTCGGTCCTCTTTATTTGTTTTTCTCTTCGTTATCTAACATGTTGAAACCGGTATTCCTAAATGTAAGCCATTAGGAAGTCGATCTATTCACTGATTTGTGTTTGCTCTGACATTAACGTTAATCAAATAAACAAAATCAAAGGTAATAAAAGAAATATTATAGTGAATTATTTATATCAAAATTCTCTGATTTTAAGTCTTTCGTGACTCGTAACCTTTTAGATGTGAACACAGATTATTAAATCAGTGTTTACAATTATTGCGTGATTGTTTCTGGTTAGAATGCATGGTACACTTTATTCATATTGCTGTTTTGTACCTTTTTTTGACTTGACCTTTAGCCAGAATAACTTTCTTACCTTCTTAAATGCAGATTGATTTGCTCAAAGATACAACAGTAGAAGGTATTGTGATTTGGAACTGGGAAGCACTAACAACATCTGTGAATAAGATGATCTTTAGTAAACGTTATTTACCGATGGGTGCAAGAACCTTTAGTGTTTTTCACCGGTCACCCGAGAACACAACCTGGATAGCAGACAAAACTAGTGTAGTTATGAAAAATTGTTTATCTAATGGACCTTATAATTTGCAGTATTTATCAGGACCGGGTTGTTATAAAAATGGTGAATTGTAAACCAGCGGTTAAATTCATTATCCTGTGGTAAAAGTTTGTCTGTTGGTTGAATACTGTTGCTCACAATTTGATCTGTTAGCGTTGTTTAATAATTATCTGCGAAAATGTGGCGTAAAATCCGTGGGTAATACCAGTATAAGCGCTGTAAATATAAATAGATAGCTAACGGTATTTTTTTCTATTTCAAATATAAACTACCCACTTATCTGTTGTTAAATATCACCTGACATAATTCAATTGAAATATTTTTTTTGCTCATTAATGCTTTGTTATTAATATTTTTGTTTTAAATTGTAGGACATGTTTCAATTTGAAACATTTCATCCGACGGTTGTTCCTCAAAAGATACTTTTTGAAGAACCTCTCTTTACACGCTTTGTAAAAATTAACATCATTCAGCCGTTGACAGAGGGGTTCAAATGCTTGAGATTTGAACTTATTGGTTGTCGGCAAAATGGTAAGAAATAATAAAAAACTGCAATGTGAATTATGTTTTTGTAAAGTTAATATGTTTTAAAAGTCATTAAACGACGTCGTTTATTATTATTATTATTCTTATTATTATTATTAGTATTATTCATTATAAATAGTAGTAGTGGAAGAAGTTTTTTCTTTAGAAATCTTATTTGTTTTACTATTAATTTCAGATGCGGCAAACTTTCCATCATTGTTAAATACATATACGTATGATTATACAACTGTATCTTTGATTGAATGGGTGTATCAGGAGATGGTGCTAACAAGTGTTAACTACCCAGTGTCATATCAGCCAGGCTCAGTGTACTCCTGGATAATAAACTTTGAAGGCGACGGATTTGTAAAAGTAGCATTCACGCAAATTTCATTCAATGTTTATGAGGTACACTTTTTATGATAACTCATAGTCAAACGCACCAACGCACGCACAAATGCAAAAAAAACATATTTACGCTCAAGAACATGCATTGACCCTATCTAAAGAGCTATTGTCAAAAAATAATTATTTTGTCATTATCAAATGTAAAGGTTTACATGTTAAATGTCTCCTTAGTGAAAAATGATTCTTGAAATGTTCTATAGATAAATGAACTCACGTTTAACTTATAGTGATTTCTAAGCTGTAATGACGGATACTAGTATTGTTTTTCTATGTTTGCACGTAAATATGAGATAATAGAATCGAAATTAATCATTTAGAAATTAAGATAGTTGACTTTGATGGCGTTCAACAATGTTATCATTATATCATCTATATGAATATTCAATTTAGTTCGGCACGGCTATGCCATTAGTGACATAGATTTTGTAATCCCAGGAGTCTGAGTTTTTTTTTTTCATTGGAAGCAGACAGTGTTTATCTGTTTTATCATGGATATGTGAGTTAATTTAATTAAAATTGATTACAAAATCACGTGGGTGATATAATAATTGTCTTTGTCACTTTGATAATTTGCACTTCTCAAACAGAATTGCTTTGGCATTGATTAATTATAATATTGCTGGTATTTTAGTATCACTTAAGTGTCATTCTGTATCGAAATTTCTTAATGCCAGCACCATTCTAAACAATTCATTATTTTCTTCATCAATAGAACATCAATAGTAACCCCAATGCTTGTAAAGACAAAATACAGCTCTATGATGGAGAAGATTTGAGAAGAACAACTTTTGCGGAGATTGACAATTTGTACAACAACCGCATACCGGTCTTTGAAACGAAACACAGTGTAATATTGTTGACATTCACCTCGTGTCGAATATTTTCTAAAATAGTAACAAGGGGCTATGGATTCAGAGCTTTTGTCTCCAAACAAGGTCTGCAAAATTGAAAAATCTAGCTATTTTAAATAATTGAATTTCTGTGTTCAGGTAAGGTGTCAGATTGGCATCGGTAACTATATTTGACGCATTTTGAAAACCCTGATTTCCATCTGTTGATTATTTGAGGTTTTAGTTAGGAGTCTTATCAAATCAAAATATAATTTAAATGAAATAATGAGGTGTATATAAAGCAATTCATAATCAATTTATATATTCAAATGATTTACATATTATTATATATTAGTAGTTTGTTAAAGTTTATAATATTATGACAGCATAATTCTAGTTGTCTCCACTGATTGTCTCTGTCAAGTTATTATTTCATCTGAATTCTGCATTCTATGTTAAAAATATCTATCACACACCTGCAATGTAATAAGCGCTCTTTTATTTCAAACAAATAATTTTGCATTTTACAGGATACCCATATGATATTCTTACGTTTAGTCTAACTCTTTGCAATCTTAACATCTTAGGCCTAATTGGACATAACCATTCATGAATTTAAGCGAAAATTTTATAAGTATTGGCTGAATGGTAGACAGTGGAGATCATCATCAGGCGGCACAAATGTGCCTTATTGTCTACACAGATCGCATAGCTAGAACCAGTTGCCGTCAGTAATTCTGGGATTTGTAGATTATTATGTTTATTTTACTGTTCTACATAGAAAATAATAACGATGTTTTAAACGGTGATATATTTGTTTTTTTGCACGTATGGAAGTGTTATTATAGAATGTACATGGGATCACTTTGTTTCAAGATTTTTTATTTACCCTAAGACTTATTAGTTTCATTATATTATGTCTTCTAAGTTTTAACATAGTTCTTTTCTACATGAAGCTCTTTCGTAGTATTTACAAGTTCCTTTTATTTTTCATTACATTACAGCAACACCAACGTGCTTATCTTCCGAAAGCAATATTAGAAGTGGTTCAGTTAGGACAGAACAATGCCAGTTGCAGTCAATGTATTTGACATCTTTTTCTATCCTGAATATTCAATACAAAGGATCATCTGAGAAATGGACTCTGCACATAAAGAAACACAGTTTCTCATTACAGTTTTTAGACTTTTATATACCTTGTTCCGACAGTAAGTTTCTCAAGTATGCATTTATTTTGAAAAATAAAATTTACAGAACAATGAATAGGAATAAGATAATTTTATTTTATTTATTCAAATAGCTTTGTAAAGTTCCCGGCGTTTTTTTGCCTATGTAAAGAATATATAAGGTTTTGAACGAAAATATATAAACGTATTTGAACAAAGTATGATGAAGAGGGAATCATCGAGTTATCTTCAAACACTTTGTATGAGAAGAGTAACGGTTGGGAGTAAAATATTTAAATGGCGGGAAAACATACGGTTAAAACAAGTCTGAGCAGTTCAGTTCAATTGACGGGTTCTTTCACGTTCACATATTTTGATGCGATAGTAAGCGTGAATAATAAATGTTCCAGTCAACAACAAATGGGCCAAGTTAGAAATCCATCAATCATACTTTTTAAGGTGAAAGTGTACGCTGGACTGCTTTATGTATTTATTTTGGGACTTTAATGCAATTCTTGATGAAAAATTTAGAAGGAAGAAATACATATTTTACCTAGGTTGCCTTTACAGCCCTCTCAATGCATCCGATTTCAGTGCTGTTATTTTAACACATTTGATAGTTTTGGTACTTGCTGCCTTTAGCAATATATCGGAAATGAATTAATTTCCAAATTTACAGGGTGTCCAAGGACGAGTTGTTAATTAACATTGGCATCAAACCGCTTCCTTTGCCGCTGAGGGTTTAAATTCTACTATGGACATTCAGATTTTTTCATATCTGTTTAGAGGGAGCTATTCAGCTAGCCATAGGAACGTAGGTGTTTGCTCAGGTGCCCGGTCGTGTCTTGTCAAATACACGAGCTTCCCCTGTCAGTAAAGCTGGAAATTCGCCATATGGCCTTCACGTTTCAGAACTGTTTATTTATAAGTGGAGATATTATGTTAGCGTCCGAATTTCTCAGTCTGTGAGGCGCGGTACGGCATTCTGAGGGTTTCGGTTTGAGTCCCGGTCAGGCTGCACATTTTCTTACCCTGTAACAGGCTTATTTGAACAATGCTGGTTGGCTTTAAAATCAAACAGTAAAAATATCGAAACAAAACTTTAAAAAATCAAAGCTGCATTATGTAGGTATAAGGCAGGAGTTAGTAAAAGTAGTTAAAGTATTTACATATATTAAAGTAAATGCAATAAACTTTATTGTGTTGAATTGTAGATAGTTAAATGGGTGGCCCTTAAGCATTTCTCTTCTAATATATACACCCTTAGTTTTTTAAGGTTTACTATATAGTTCGGAACTGTAAAACCGTATAAGAAATGCACAAACATGCAGCACGTAAATGCTGTGAAATATTTTTTTTTTATTTCAGATACAAAATTGATATTCATTGATAGGTATATGGAAGGCAAAGTCTTTTGTAATCTGGCAAAACCTCCAAAAGTGATTTACTCGAATTCGGATAATGTTTCTTTAGTACTGAATAGATTTTCTTCCGATGAAGAGCCTATTTATAGTATAAGGCAACGTTTTAAAGCCGTCTACGTAGCGCTGAGCGAGGAATTTTCTAACAAAATTGATGAGCAGTATACTAACTATTACGGTAATACCTTTAATACATATAGTATAATTTATATAAATCATATCATTAAAATGTTTTTAAATTAAAAATATGAGATTAGGAAAAAAATGCTTGACTTTAAAGAATGAGGTCAGGGAAATGTTGATGATTTAAAAGAACTAGGTCAGGAAAATTTTATGATTTATAAGAGATCAGGGGAATTTAAGACTACGAGGATCTTACACCGTCTGCCAGTATAGACTGGAATATTTAACTCGATGGTAATTGTTTAC